ATCAGTGTGTGGCCAAAAGAAACGGGTAAGTGTGTAATAAAATCCATGGATAAATATTCCCGCACTTGGTTCGGGATGGGTAGGGGTTGGAGCAGGGCCTTTTTTGTGTTAGATATTTATTTTTTTGACAGATTGAACAATGTTGAACAAACTTTTTTGTGTCACTGTAGATGCCAGGCCAGAGAAATGAAGAAGATAAGCGAGCTAAAGTTGGTTGGAGTCCCGAATGGCCGATAGAAGGAGTTGAATGAAACTCTGTTAAGATGTGATTGTGCAGTGCTTCCACTGGGGGTATGTAAATTTTATCCTTATAGTAGAGAAGCTCATCTTTGGTAGAAAAAAACTCTTGTGACTCTGGTGTCGATAACATCTTGTGCATGAGGTTCTGACCTTCTTTCTCTATTTTATAGTATTGTCTGAGTTGGTTGATGAGGAGAGGAACATGAGAGGAGATGGACAACAACATAGCTCCTTCCTCAGTGTGAATTCTGCTAAGGGAATCAGCGACCTGATTAGACTTCCCAGGTCTGTAAAAAACTTCGAAGTTGAAACCCTGAAGCTTAGCAGCCCATTTCTGCTGCTCAGGAGTTTGGATAGTTTGCACCAATAAATTCTTTAAACTTTTTTAATCTGTATAGATGTGGAAATGCCTTCCAATTAAATACGGATGCCACTTTTTGACAGATTCTGTTATAGCATACATCTCGTAGACATACAATGAGGATGCCTGTAGACGGTTGTAGAGTTTTTTACTGAAGAAGGCCAAGGGATGTCCCTGTTGAGATAAAACTGCGCCAACCGCTATTGCAGAAGCGTCGGTCTCAAGGACAAAGAGCTTAGAGAAATCCGGAAGACGCAAAATTGGTGTTTTTGTCATGTGTTTCTTAAGTGTTGTAAAAGTTATCTCAGCAGATGTACTCCAAATTAATTTATTAGAACGCAATAAATTGGTGAGAGGAGCGGCGAGTGAGGCGTACTGGCGAGCAAAGCGTCTATAAAACCCGGTGAGGCCTAAAAAAAACCTGAGAGTGAGAGTCGTGAGAGAACGTGGCATAGGCCAGTTGATGATTGCTTGAATCTTTTCTGGATCTGGGGTGACACCATCACTTGAAATAATATGCCATAAATAATCCACAGTCGGAACAACAAAAACACATTTGGATAACTTGGCATAGAATTGGTTAGATAGCAATAACTCCAAAACTAATTGTAAATGAAGAACATGGTCAGAAATGCAAGAACTGTAAATTAAAATGTCATAAAAAAACTAAAACGAACCGCCTTAAGTATGGTTGAAGCAAGTCATTCATTGCCGATTGAAAAGGAGCATTAGTAAGACCAAAAGGCATAACTAAAAACTCACAGTGCCCATCAAACATTCTGAACGCAGTTTTGTGCATGTCTTCTGGCGCAACCCTGATCTAGTGATAACCTGATCTTAAGTCAATTTTAGAAAACATTGTTGTTGAACCAAATTCATCAAAAAGTTCATCAATTGTGGGTATGGGAAAGCGGTATTTAATCTTTACTGCGTTTAAGGCTCTATAATCAACGCAAAATCGCTAAGAGCCGTCTTTTTTTATGACTAAGAGGACAGGTGATGAACAAGGGCTATGGCTAGGTCTAATAATTCCCTCATGTAGCATGTCATGAATGATTGTTGTCATGGCTTATTTTTGTGAGTGAGGATATCTGTAAGGTTTTACGTTGATGGGGGTGCGTTATGAAGTATAGGAATGTGATGGTCATGTGGTCTAGTTGGGGGTAGGCCTTGTAGGGTTTGGAAAACTGTAGCATAAGATTGTAACAGTGATGTAACCTGTTTGGGTAAAGAAGGTTGGAGGGACTCCAATGTATAATGGTTGTGTGGGGATGGCTCAGGTTGGTAAAGTAAGAGATGGATTGAAGCAATTGAGTCAGTATGGACAAGGTGACAAAGTTGTTGGTAAGAAGAATGAGTAGGATGAGTTTTTGGATCACCTGTGATTGAGATTTTGTTGTTGTGGTAAGTGAAGGAAATATTTGATATTGAGAAATCAGCTAGGAGGGGACCCAGTGTACGTAACCATTCCATGCCGAGGACAACGTCGACTCCTTCAATAGGGATTAAGTGGAACGAAATAACAAAGAGGTGGTTTTGTAAGGTGATAGGGACTTGTGAGCAGAGTCCCGAGCAGGATAATTTGGAACCATTTCCAACCATCACAGAGAAATTAGGGATTGGTTTAGTTGGAAGTTTTAAGTTCTGAGCGATGTGAGGTTGTAGTATATTGTGGGTACTGCCCGTGTCAATTAGGACCGTAACAGTAATGTCGTGGAGTAAACCGTTAAACTTCAGTGTCTTGGGAGAGAAACGACCACTGACGGCTTGTGGTGAGAGTTGGAAGTAAGTATCCCCAAGTTCCTCCGTTGGGGATAGGACCTCAGTATTGTCTAAAGATTCTTGGGTTGTAGAAACGTCTTCATCCACCATTAGCAATAAGAATTTTCCCATTGCACATTTATGACCTGGTATAAACTTTCCATCACAGTTAAAACAGAGACCATGTGTGTGACGCTCTTGAAGCTGAGCATTGGAAAGTCGGCGTATAGGTAGTTTAATGGGTGGAGGTACGGTGGAAAGTTTAGGGTAAGTGGGGGTTGGGATTGTGGTTGCTGTAACGGGGTGTGATTTGCTAAGCGGGTGTGAAAAGGGTTTTTGATATTTGGGATTTGAATCCTTGATTTTGGATTCAATCAACTTACCTAATCCAATACTTGCGAGATCGAAACAGGTTTATGAATTGCGATTTCGTTTTGTATGTCAGTTGCCAACCCCGAAATAAAACAATTTAGAGTAGCTTTTGGGGATAAACTGACAACTTGTGTACCTAATTTTCAAACATAGCTTGGTATTCTGTAACGGACCCTACTTGTTTTAACTTAAACAGTTCAGCCTAATGATTTGTATAAGTAGACGGTCCGAAACGTAATTCCAACGCTTTTGTAAATGATGGTCAGTCTATGAGTAGGCGGTTTTTATGCATCCACTTGAACCAACATAATGCTTCACCTTTCATATAAAATGACATCATCGATAATATGTTTTCAAGGGGTAATTGGTAAAATTCAAAGAATTGGTCAGCTTGAAATAACCATTCCAAAGGGTTTGAGCCATCAAACATAAGAATTTCTACTTTAGGGGTACGAAAAGATGGGAGAGGTGTGGTTGGGTGGGGTGGTGGGAAAGGGATGGATTGGAACATGGGAAAATTATAATTCTGGCCATAGGGTTGAGTATTGGGCTGAGTGACGTAAGGTGGAGAAAACAGTCTGGGGATTTGATTAGGTGTGGAACGCAGTGCGACAATGGTCATGGTAGGTAAATGTGGGTTGTTAGAAAAAATGCCTGAGTGTAACAAGGGGGTATAGGGTTGGTGTAAAATAGGAAATGGGTGTGGATAGGTTGTTTGTGAAATAATGGGGCTGGGGTGTGTTGTATGTATTGGAACTGAGTGAGGAACATGAGTAATACCTGAAGATGAAGTTGTTGTTGTTTGAGCAGTGGTTGGGGGTGACTGGCCTTTTGAAGAACCAGTTTGTTGAGCATTTCCATGATGTTGTCATACGTTGCTTCTCATTGTCCATGCGAGTTTAAATGAGTTCCAAATCTGCAGAGGTTTTGTCAAATCGCTCATCCATTTGTTATTGTGTTTGAGTCATTGCGTTGTCAAGATGGATATGAGCTATTTGGACAGCTTCTTCTATAATATCTCTAAGGTTTGGGGGTTTTGGGGGAGGAGCCATGAGGCCAAAAAGATGAAAGCACCAATTGATAGAAAGGATTCAACAACTATTTTCAGATCTAGGATTCCTACCATAGACAAGACACAAAACTAAGAACAAATAAAAATAGAAATGAAATGTCTTCTTAATTGTGCCCTCTCTAAGGAGGAAACAGGATTAAATACAAGAGATAAAGCTCAATTTGGGCTACAACAGATAGGCCCAACTAGAAAAATACTAATAAAAATTAATACAACATTTTACTTTAATTCATAATCCCCCATCCATTTGGGTTGAATGCTCATTCGTATGGGCCTACTAACAGATTTTCTGTCTTCTTTTTTCGGTTCAGCAGCTGGTTCAGGTGATTGGTCTTTCGCATGGTATCATTTGCATTGCAGCAGCAATTTAGGCTTCAAGCGTCATGTGTGGGCACTGTCGCACAGGTGTCTATTAGTTTAGATTGCTGTTTCCATACAGGCTGGCTTTTATGTTTTTAATACTATAGGAGTAAGCTCCTGTTTGGTCTGAAGGTTCTTTTGATAAAGGCTGCGAGGGGTAGTAAAAGATTACCATATCTCTTAACTGGCAAATGGCAATAACAGACAAATGATAGAGAATATTTCATTGTGTACCAAACATAGACATAACTTTGGGAATCAAAGGAATATATGCAAGTATTAATCAGTAAATATATAAATCAAAATGTTGTGAATATTTTATACAAACAAAAGGCTAAACTAATAGCTAACATAATTTTGGTACACAGATATTGTCTGAAATCTTTGAAATCTTTGCAACATCACTTGAAACATAAAGACATCTAGGCTTTAGATAGCTTTTTATTCATTCACCTTCTTTTGGTGCAAATAGCAATATTTAACATACATTTTTGCACACAAGAATTCAAAGGATGATAAGCTTCATTTTCTAAGTTTAATAAACAGTGTAACTTTCCAATCTGTGTTCAGAACCATAAGTGTAATCCCACCAAACTCTAATGTGTAGTAGTGAAACAAAATCTCCAAATTTATGTCCAGTGGTTGATAGTTGAACTACCCTTGCAAAAAAATTGTCCCACACTTGTTTGTTTCTTGCTTTTCTATCATAATAGTATCAAATGTGATATCTCTTCATCATTTGAAAAAACAGAAACAAAACTAAGTGTGGCAGGATAGTGAGAATATCTTCCCTCAATTTTGGAGGGCAATAATGTCGTTCTTTTGGATTTTGTATCATGAGCCTGACATGTAAGTGTATCGTGTTTGAGCTCCAATTGTAAGCTCGACAATTTTTGCTGCAAAACATATATTAAGAAAAAAAATATATCAGATGTCCAAGATAAAATGATGATGACAAGAAACTGAGGCAGATATATAGATAAATATCAAGCGCACCTGTAAGAAATCCTATGATGGGTACAGGTTCCAAAACTTTCTCAGTGCTTTCAAGTTTTCGTCTAAAAAAATTAGGCAGGGAATATTTAGTATCAGATAGCAAAATGTGGTGTGTGAAAAAGTGGAAGGAAGTTAAAAAAGAAAAAATACGAGTAGAATGTGAAATCATTGGTACCTTGTATATTTGCAGAAAAATGGATCTCTCATTAGGTAGAGTACAAATAACAGCTTCCGTCGTTTAACCTGCAGCAAAACTATTTCAGCAGTAGCTCTTTAATGGGAAGGTAAGGTTAGTCCTATACCAAGAGCATCTTACAGCTTATTATATGAAAACAGTTTAACTGTATTTTATCTGTTGTTTATAGAAATAACTTGTGCATAAACACATAACTACAACAAATGTTTATGCTATAAGCATTTAAATAAGCTTTTTAGCCAAACATTGCCTAGAAACAATTTATAGACAAGTGATAAGTTGTTTCCAAAAGTTCTCTCAAACTGTCTTACAAATGCTTGTGTTAGTAAATAAGTTCAAATAGGTCTATCAAAATAAAACATAAGTTAAATGAAACACAAACCTCATCTTTTTCTGGATTTTCGCCCGCCACTGTTGTTGTAACAAGTGAGAGAATACCGTTTGATATGGTATCAACAGCCAGTGAAAGGAACCAAGGGGTCCATGACCGAGTGCCGTATTTTCGAATAAATAAAACATAGATAAGTGGTCTAATAATAAATAGGACTTCTCCAATCAAAAACAAAGCTCCACGAAACCCCTTTTTCGATAATATGGTGGAAAGTGTAGGTTTCACTATGGTTGAAGCTGTAACAATACAGTGGAAAACAAGTATTAGTGGAATTTCCGATGTATCATAATATGAGATTAATTTCAATGCACTCGGTGTAAATATTTTTACACATGTATCCAATCAAATTACATCATGATGTTGCTTTGTTATATTTTTTCTTAAAATATCTCTACAAATATTGGTGTAATATATTTAAATGCCCGTTTAAAAAAAACAACACTAACAGTGGATAAAAGTATCTTTAGAATGAACTACCGGCGGGTTCCACAATTGCTTGTTGATGTTGAACCCTACGTAACCACACTGGATCTGACACCACCCTTGCTTTTTCTCCAAATTGACTTAAAGCAGACAGTGCTCTTCCTTCCAGATTCCACGGGTTTGTTCCAGGATTGTAACGCCCTTTTGGGTTTACGGCCATTTGTTGTTGTGAAGTAGAATCATCATTAGATGTCTCCCCTCCATGTAACACCATTTTATATCCACTCTTTCGGAACAAAGATAACCGAACCAGTACCCTGAGTAAGAGTGACCAAGATAATAAGAAAAAAGGGATGGATGATTGCAAATATAAAATGACATCCTCAGATCAATATGCCAAAGTAATTGCATTGTGCTGCTTACTTGGTTGCTTCGGTAACAGCAAGGAAATTCCATTTCTTATCATCACCATAGTATTGTTGTGCCACGACTTCAACTAACGTTTCCAAATCCTTTAATGCAGATAAGCATAATGGATAAGGGAATGAATTAGGCTCAACAGAGCCTGTAATATTTTGGTTAGGAGTACTATCAATTATATGTTCATTGATAGCTGTGATGATTCCCAGAACGGTTGTCACTACATGAAATCATATATCTTCAGTAAGATACATGTGTTTATAATAACAGAAAATAATTTAAAAACATACTATAAGACAGACACAACTCGTTTTAACTTTAATGACAGTCTCGGTAAACTACTAAACAAGGAAAACATAATATGATTTGGAAATTTGCAACAGGAATCTAGCACAAGGCCCACTCAGGTAAGTCATTTGTTTTTCCTAGCTAGTGTTTTGAAGACCATTAAAATTTAATAGTTGATAGAAGGTTTTATTACGTGTCAGCTCAGTTTTAGATTTTTTTTCTTCCCATTTTGTCACCAACAGAAAGAGTCTTATTAAGTTTTACTACTTTATAAATCAAAAGAAGTAGCCAAAAGTTACCAAAAATTCACAAAACCTGCTTCTGGTCCAATCTCTGATTCAGAAAACCGTTCAGGAAGAAGCCATGTCAACCCCTGTCCACATATTCAATCAACAAATAAGATAACAAGCAGTGTACAAATGCTCACATACAACAACTTTTCAACAATATCCTTCATATATTTGTTTGCAGAAAATGACAATCTAGCACGGTCACTACACAGATTCTGACATGCCAACACATATAATAATTTGAGACAACAACAACACCCAAACCTTATCGCACTAAGTGGGCTACATGGATCAACTTCCGCCATAATATTCTATCAAGGACCATGCTTCTACCCAAAATTGTTAATCTTGAGATCTTTCTTAATAACTTCTCTTATAGTCTTTCTAGGTCTTCCTCTTCCTCTAGTTGCTTGACTTCTCTCCATCTAATCTACTCTCCTTACCACAAAATCTACAGATCTTCTCTCTACATGTCTAAATCACCTAAGTCTATTTTCCACGATCTTCTCTACTATAAGTGCTACCACAACACTCAAATATTTTCATTTCTAATCATATTTTATTTAATCTTACCACATAGCCAACGCAACATCCTCATCTTTGTTACACTTACTTTATTCTCGTATTAATTCATAACCACCCAACATATATGTAGGTAATCATATATGTGGATGTCGTGTCAGTGTGAGAGACACCTGAGATGACTTCGAATAAAACCGCCGTGTTACAGAGATGACAATCACAATCACAAAACTGGTTGTTTAATTTGTTTTAAGATTGCACTTTTCAGTGCTATCTTATGAATGAAGCTTCATTAGTACAATTTTGTGAAGGAAATAGGGATATCGCGATTATCAAACAGAAGAATCATAACATAGCACTTAATCCAACAATAGCCAAAACTAACAAACAACAAAATTCATAGCAGAATCACCATTTTCCTCTAATTTTCTGGTTACCCTTCAACACTCATAGATATTACAACAAGTATTAACTACCTATATCGCACCAACACTTCATATTAAAGCTTCATCAGAAACCCATACGACACCGAAACATGTGGATACACTCAATCACTTCTATTTTCTTAAATCATTACTTGTATCTATCTACATGTCATTGTAATTGATAACAACACAAAAGCATGAAGATTCTAAGTAAGTTTCTAAGAAACAAGATGATTATGTTGAATCAAACATGATAATATCGTAAAATTGTTAATCCAAAACAGAAACTTACATTGGCCAAAGATTCTAAAGAGTTCACGTACTCTTTGTTCTGTCGAACCCATCTCTTATAAGCCTCCATAGCTTCAAAAACTCCAACAAACAAAAAAGCTACAAAAACAACAAAATCATAGACGAAGAAACAAAATTACTCTCGAATTCAAACTCAGAAGGTTCTGGAATCGATCCAGTTGATGAAGATGCGTGAATTGAAGATGGGATTCAGTCAGAAAAACACGGAACCGAAAGAACGAAACCTAACGAGGATCTGTTTCTAACCGTTGATCTGTGCAAGGTTCTATAGCTCATGTACCGTTTCGATGAGAGGTGATTGAGATCTTGAAGAATGGACGGTTGTAATTTGATGATGGCTTTTGAGACTGTGCAGTTAAGAAAATATCAACTTATGCATAAGAAAAGAGATTAATGTAGTAATTGCGTGTTTTAATTGTGGATTTTGATTATTTGTTCTAGATGGCTTAAAATTGATTTTGGGAAGGAGTGATTTAAGAAGCTTAATCTAAATTAAAGGTGTTGAAATTATCTATGTTGTGTAAATGTTTAGATAGAGCTATCAGTTTATTGGACCTTTTAAAATTGAGCTCTAACCATTAAAAAAAAAAATTTAATAGTTCTAAATAAGTTTCTTCCAAGTTGAATTTATAGACTATAAGAAAATATTTATTAATTTTTTTGAGAAATATAAGAGATGTAAAGTATGGAATTTGAGTTGATCGATTGAAATGGAGGAGAGTTTTAGGGGTTTTATGTGTCATAAAGGTATCGTTCAAGTTGAAGAAAAAAATTTATCAACCAAAGTAAGATCTACGATGTTGTACGAAATAGAATATTGAACGGTTAAGAATCAACGCGGAATAAAGTAAGTATAATAAAAATGAAATATTCAATTGAATGTGTGATAATGGTAAGACTAGACATGATAAAATTAGAAATGACAATATCACAAAGAGTGTTAGGTAACTCCTATATAAAAAAAGACGATAGAAAATAAATTTATGTGGTTTGGATATTTAGAGATTAGCCGAGAAACAAAGCTAATTTTAGGGGTATAATTTTCATGAATAATTAAAAGTCTAATTTGGAATGTAAGACGACGAAAAATAGTAAGTAAAAAACATAGCGTTGTTACAAATGCGGATAGGTAATTTTAGATTATTCTCTAAACTATAAAATCTCATTACAATGCTTATTTAATGAGAAGTGAGACAAGAGTTTCAGTTGTTTAATTTTAGAGAAAATTTATGTAGTTCAATTTTGTAAATAATTTAAAATCTGGTTTTATATTATCTAAGAGGGATTTCTAAGTTAGAGAGGAGTGAAAATTAAAGTCATCAAAAGAATTTCTCTCTTTATCAATGGAAGTTTCATTATTCGCTTTCTAATTATAAAGATCGTGAATCTTTTAAGGATGAAAGGGTAGTTCCAATTCCACAACTCATGTAGAGTCAGGTTTAAGTAACATATTTTGACTTCATATTAAAAAATTTTAACTCGCCCCTATAAAGTCCAAGGATTGTTTATGACCGGGTAGCCCATTTTGATAGATATAAATATATTGTATGTAGCCCATTTCGATTTGTAGTAATATTTTTCTTGGTTATGTTATTGATACTTTTCTATCTAATATACTTAAAAATAATAAAACTACATGCTAAAAAATACAAAATAATCATTCATAAAAATAATAAAACTACATGCTAAAAAATACAAAATAATCATTCATACAAATCATCTTCAACGGTGTTAGCCCTATATGGGCGATAATACAAGTTTTTGACTTCAACCATCTATTGGTTGATACATTCTTAGAAGTACTTCAACAACTTGAATCACCTTTTGACTTCTACTACCTGTGATATTTTTACAACTTTCTGATGATGGTGACTCACTTGGAGATATCTCAAGTCTCATCCATAAGAAGATTCGAATGAAGTACTTATAAGATTGGTATATCCAACAAAAGGACTTGAAACTTTAGAGAGTGAAAGAGAGCAAGTGGCAAAGTTTGTCTGATCATGTCCGAGTGATCAGTATATTGTAAAGACACAAGAAAGATTCTGGAAGTGTTATGGCTAAATCACAAATAAACACACACACGCCGACACACACAAAACTGTTTTTGAAGTCTTTCTTTTTCAACTAAAATCATGAAACATGTTTTGGGAGCCTAGCCAATTGACTAGGAAATTGTTCAATTGATTAGAAGACTTTTTATAAATGTCTAATTGATTAAATATTTGTCTCAGTCGATTAGATAAGGTAAAATTGAGTCTATAATCGATTGTGACAATGTCTTAATGAATGGTAACAACTCTCTGTCAAAACATTCCAATTTGGGCGGCAATAATCAACTATTGCAAGTAATTAATCGATTAGGCCATTTATTTGGCCCATGGATTGTTTCCAAAAATACACCATTTTTGGCCTATAAATAGAGGGTTTCCCTAACATTTCAAATCATCCAGAAAACATGAAATACATCACTTTTCCTTTCTATAAACCTCACTAAATTATTTTTTCTTCTCTCACATATTTTAGTTATAGTATTTTGAGAGCGTTATTGAGTTTGGTGACAAATTTGTTATGGGTAAGGGCTTTATTATAAATTTACCAATAGTTTTTTTCTCTTGAGTAAATCATTCTTCCTTAAGAAGTTATTAGTTTAGTTTGGAGATAAACCAATATAAAATATCTTTTGGGGATTAGTATAAGTCTATGTTTGGTTCGGGAGCTCCTCCATTGAAGAAAATATCTCTTTTGGATTCGTGAAGAATAACTAGGGGAAATTCTTCACAAACATTTTTTAGCTTAGCTCGGTTAAAAGCTCATTCAGTTCGAGATTAGCCTGGTATAAAATCTTAATTGATTTATGAGTTTGACCTGTGTAAAAGCTTAGTAGGCTCGAGATTAGCCCGACAAAAATATCAGTTCGGTTCATGGTCAGCCCGTGTAAAACCTCGATTCAGTTTGGAGGATATCCAACATAAAACTCTATCTTGGTTCAATATCAGTCTATGCAAAATCTCAGTTTGGCTTAAAGACTAACCGCTCAGAACTTTGTTCGTTGTTTGGCATGAAGACTAATCGCTTCATTCCTTAGTTCGTTGTTTGGTTGGAAGTCAGCTTGAAATTTCATTTGCTTGTATAAGAGGTTTCGTGGGCTTACTTTTATAAGAGCTCTCAAGCATTATTTGACACTCTTAAGATTAATTCTTGGGGACATGAGTAAGTCACTTTTTTAAGATCGACCTCTATGAATCTCTGGTGTTATCTCTCTTTCTTTAACTCTTTCATTTTCCACTTATTTTCTTTACCTTAGTTTTCCGCTACTTACTTAAAAAAAATTTAAATTGAACTATGATTTAGAAAAAAAAAATTGTTTTAAACTATCATTTTTCAGACCTCCACAATTTGCCATCCTCTTGTGTATGAAGTCACATGTTCAATATATATGTCTATGGTATTGTCGATGAATTGGTGACTTCTAGATTTCTTATCAATGTGTGGTCGCTTGGATTAGTACTAGTTTAAGGATGGCGGCTTGATTACTTTGTGACTCCGCTTCTTTCACATTACTATTCCTCAATTCTGCGTGTTACGGGCTCTCTTCAATTTTGAAAATTCTTTCCGCCAAAGCCTACAAATTGTGTTATTGCATGTTGTAAATATAGTTTTTCATATCATTTTCCCTGTATACTAAGGTTAACCTATAACAATTTGAAGTTGGGAAGCATCTCTCCTCCAGGAATCCCAGGCAGTGGCGGAGATCTAATTGAAGGTTCACTCTGGTGGAATTGCATCGCGTATTCAGGGAATGAAAGAGGTAGGAATACTCCCTAATTTTCCCTAGGTTGGATAAGATTTTGTTATGAAGGAATAAATGGAGATGTTACCAAGACTTTATCATTTATAATTTGAAGAAGAGGTGGTTGATCTTTGGCCACTTTAGTAGTAGTAGCAACAACTTGTTGAACGGTGGAGCAAGTAGTTTTGGAAGCCACCATCATTAATGAGTTCAAAGGAGGTCTTGTAAGTATGAGACTGAAACATAAGATGGGTGAATTAAGGTTACCTTTTTTTTTCTTCAGTTTTGCGCTTAGGATCTTATCTTTTTATTTTACTGGAAGCAAGATATTGAATGTTATGCTATTATGATAGTAAAATGCAAAAAAAAAATGCATAAAAGTAAAGAACACGAGACAAATATACTAGTTCCCCTTTCCAAGCAAGGGTACATATAGTCCCGTCACACCTTGAAGGATTTTTCATTATGTTAGATCTTCGTACAAGCCTCACACCAAGACCTCTTATAATCTTATAACATAAACACCAAATCTATGGTGGACATTGAATCTCCCTGAATCAAATGACATGTGTCATACCCCAAATTTTGACCCCTAGATTCCATTATCATTCTAGGTGCATCAAGCATATGTTATCTAAACCTAACCTCTTTTAAGTTAGTATTTGTCAAGATGCAGATGAATTAAGGTTTCACACTGTTAAAATCAAGAATCCTATGGACTGATCAGTCAAGGTTTTGGATTTATATTCTACATATCAAGTCTTCATATCATTAAAAGGTTCATATCTTACCAAGAACAAGTTCTATTTGAGGTTTTTACCAAGAGAATTGAAGCAGTGCTGTGCAAAACCCTAATTAGGGTTTGATCGGGAAAATAGCAAGTGTACTATTTTTACCAATTGTAGTAATAAGGGAAAAGTCCCAAGTATCGATCTCGAGGACTGCGTAGTAATTAACGGAATTTTTAGGATTCAAATGAACAAAAGGTCTAGTGGTTTGTTTGGTAGCAGAGTAATATAACAAGTAAATACGGACTTAATGAATCAATCTAAGAACAATGTTAGGGGAGTGGAGACGATGCGAGTAAAGACCATGTATGATTATTCTACCATACTAGTTATTAACCTTAATTTATCAGTTGGCCACTTTAGTTGCCTTAATTCCTTAATGAAAACCCTTTGATGATTTTCCTGTACACTAATTCCTCAGTGTCCCTGAAAAGCATCAAGCAATAGTTCCGACCATAAAATACGTGA